CTCACTTCAGTGGCTCCATCTTCTTTGTGGCAACCCCTGAGATATTGGAACACTGCTATCATGCTATCCCATCCCATCCCATCCTATTTAATAAAAGGTTCTATTTAGTGGGAGAGGAGAATCATATGAGACACATCTCCTTCCTGGCACATTTCCATACTGTGTATCTCTGTTGGCTGTATATAAGAACAAAAGTATCCACTGAAGTGAGTAGAGCAGCAATGAAAGACCATAATGAACAGAGATGGCCCTACAAAAATGTCTTCATTGCAGGGAGTAGAATAATTCCTTCATTAGGAGCAGATGTTTAGATTTATGGGTCTCAAATAAAATAGCACCTCTCTTTTTGTCCTTTTCAGATCAGTTACAGTTATTTTTCCCAGAGTTTGAGTGACAACACTCAGTTTCCTTTCTTCTACTCTGTGCTCCCTGCCGAAGGACTCCTATACCCAGGGATAGTCAAGCTGCTTCTCCATTTCAGGTGGGCCTTGGTTGGTCTGATTGCTCCAGACACTGAAAATGGAGAAAGTTTCATGAGGACATTGACTGCCATGCTGATAAGGAATGGCATTTGTCCAGTTTTACGGCAAACCTTTCCCAGATCCTTTCGGGATCTGATTTTAAATTTCGGGTCATTCCACAATTTGACCAAAGTGAACATCTTTATTTTTAATGCAGACTATACTTCAATCAAAACAGGGTTTGATATTTTAATTAGGATCTATGACTCCTTTACTGAATCTCCTAGAGGAAAAGTCCTGATCACCACAATCCGCTGGGATTTCACTATTTATTTGATGGAAGAGGACTTTCCTCTTCAGGACATCCATAGCACTTTTTCCTTTTTGATCAGCAACATTAAACTTCTAGACTCTCGTACATTTTGGAAGTTGTATTTTTCTGCAAGACGCTTCGCAAGGAACTCCTTCTTGTGTGCCTACACCAAGGATGCCTTTTCTGTGAAAGACTTTCAACGGTGTCGACAGAAAGAAGGACTGGAGGCTATGAGGGAAGAGGAGATTGAACAGATCCTGACTATGGATAACTATTTCATTTACAACACAGTTTGGGCTGTGGCACGGGCATTAAATACAGCTTATTTATCCAGATCCAGATCCCGGGGTGCAATATTCAAAGATGGCAAAAAGCTGAAAACTCCAATGTTGAAATCATGGCAGGTATTTTGTTTCTACTGCATCTGTTTCACTCAGCTCATTTCTTTTGCAATATGTTCTTTCTTAACACCTTCTTGGTAAATATATTTTTTCCATTTTTTCCTTGCACTTTTTTTTTTTACAAGCAAGAATACTACGGTGGCCAACACAGTCTAACAAAAAATATTGTCTGTGTGTGATGTTTACAAAGAGCATAGAAATCTCTACAATAAGGATCTTACATTTGAACTGGAATGAAGGAAATATACTGAGGAACACAGAATAAAACTATGTAAAATGTCCCAAGAAACTTGCACTTCCTTTAAAAATCAGTATTGTTAACATCACTCATTTTCTCTTCTATTCCAGCTTCATTCTTTCCTTCGGACTTCTCAGTTTTATAATAATTGCATTAATGGGGTGTATTTGAATGAGAAAGGAGAGCTGGTAGCAGACCTTGCCATTATAAACTGGATTATATTAGCCAATAAGTCTGTCAGCAGATTGACATTTGGGGCTCTAGAAAGACCGGGATTCTTGGATGTGAAGTTCACAATCAGGGAAACTGCTCTTGCAAAGATGGAACTGTTGAAGAAGGTGGGGGAAAATACTTCATTCGGCTCTTTCTAAAAGTCTTACTAAGAGTCTTACTGTTGGGGCAGAGACAGAAATTGGTTTCCTATACATACATACATACATACATACATACATACATACATACATACATACATACATACATACATACATACCAGTGGTGGGTTCCAAAATTTTTTAGAACCTCTTCTGCAGGTGTGGTCTGCTTTGTGGGAGTGGCTTGCTGGCCATGTGACTGGTTGGGCATGGCCAATTTGTAAAATGTGCTGAAACTCACTTAACAACGCTCNTGGGCCTGTCACTCACCCTCAGTCCATCTCGCCTATCACTGTTGTTGTTGTTGTTGTTGGGAAAATAGGAGAAGGAAGGAGGATTAGATATATGCACTGCCTTGAGTTGTTTATATTAAAATAATAAAGATGAGATATAAATAATAAATTTAAAAAAGGTGCTGGCGACGAGAACAAGTAGGAAAGGCAGGCTGTTTCCAGTGTCCTAGAAGTGGCTTTCAGGTGAGACTGACAGGTAGTTTGGCTTCAAGTGTCATATTTTGCTGCTTCAACTCTTGCTTAGTTCAGCACCCCCATCTAAATTGCAGGAGTCTTAGGACTGTGCTCTGGGTTGTCTTTGGAAATGTTGTGTAAATGATGTTTTGTTTGCCTCTACTTTTTGCACCTACAGTATATGGCAAACCTAGAGAACTGTCTGACACACCAAGTGAAAAAGGAAAACTTACAACGATTGTAAAAGGAATGGTTGTTGCCACCTTTTCTCCCACAGGAGTGGATGGAAGCTGTTGGCTTTCAAAGCTGCCCGAAGTGTCAAAGGGATGCTGTGCTTAGTGTAGCATCCTGTATATTAGTACTGCTGGAAAATGGCCTGTCCTATGAAGAAGCACTCAAAATTAATTCCCGCTTAAGGTATTCGACAATAGACTCAGAAGCGAGAGGCACAGAAACACTGCAATGGCAGCGGTTGGCAAATAGACCAGTTTGCAAACAGATTTAAATTGGATTTCAAAGGCAAAGAATCAAATCTTTCTCTTCCCTTTGGTTCTTGCTGAAGATGAACGTTTCAAAGCTTGCTTCTCCTTTTCTTGGAAGGAGGCACAACGGGAGTAGAATATGGAAATGAATAAGCCTGTGTATTCTAGAATTTTTGCCTCTCTCATAAATCACCCTAAGTGTGTGTTTGGGCTGAACACATAATAACGGCTGGATCTAGGATCAGATTGTTCCTTTGGGTTGGCATTTGCCAACCATTCTGTAAATTCTGGAATTAAAAGCATTTTTTCTGTTCTTCATGCTAGCTCTACACTTGCAATTACAGACATTTAAGCAAAAGTGCCTTATACAGGTAGTCCTCGAACACAGTTGAGTTCAAAATTTCTGTTGCTAAGTGAGATATGTTAAGTGAATTTTATCCCATTTTACAACTTTTCTTGCTACAATTTTTAAGTGAATCACTGCAGTTGTTAACTTAGTAACACAATTGTTAGGTGAATCTGGCTTCCCCAAAGAAGGTCACAAAAGGAGATCACACCCCATCACACACACACACCCACACACACACACACACACACACACACACACNCCCTCCCTCCCTCCCTTCCTTCCTTCCTTCCTTCCTTCCTCCCAGTCTTCTTTGTCTCTCATCCCTCCTTGCTTGCTCTGTGGACAGCCTTCCTGGGTGCCAATGATTCTGACTTTGCATAGTCTACTGGGTTACAGATGACTCTGACCCTTCTGTAGACTGCTGAGATGTTAACATTAGGCCCACACCTGCCTGCATTCCTGAGTGATGGCCGGTCTTCTGAGAATCTATAAGATTTGGCCAATGGGTGGTAAATTGGAACATAAATCCTCATTGGGGCAGAGCTCAGGCGAGCTTAAGCTTGTAGTGCAGGCTGGAAGCTTTACAAGTGAGAACTTGCAGGTAGAAATAACATTCATCTTTTCCTTGAATTGCATTTTGATTTCCCTCTCTCCTTTTTCCATCTCTTTCCCTCCCCCGCTCTCCAGCACCTCTGCCCAGTGAACAGTTTTAAGCTGCAATTTTAATGCTTTTACGGAGCTTCTGGAAACTGGTGTCTGAACATTATTTACATCCTAAAGCCAAGCAGTGCCTGGAGAATTTCAATTGCCTCATTTTATGAGATTCTGCAAGCTGGAGACAGGGGAAGACTTCTCCAGAACCCCTCTTTGAATATAAAAGAAGAAGAAGAAGAAGTTGGGGGTGGTGGAAGAGAGACAGATTGTGGAAAAAAAATAGACTTGTTACATTATAGTTTCACAGTTCGTGTGAAATAACAATACCCTTTGCTATAGATCTGGTTTTGAATAGCTTTGTGGCAGAGTCTGTATTGTACTATTAAAATCTAGGGAAGGGGAAGGAAAGAGGAAAGGAGAAAGGAAAGGAAAGGAAAGGAAGGGAAGGGGAAATGAGGAAAGGGAAAAAAAGGAGAAAGGAAAGGAATTGAAGGGAAGGGAAGAGAAGAGAAGGAAAGGGAAGGGAAGGAAAGGAAAGGGAAGGGAAGGGAAGGGAAGGGAAAGGAAAGGAAGGGAA